GGGCAGAGACCTGGACACAGAGCTTCCATGTTTCACAACCTGACACCTATCAGTCAAATAAGAGGAAAACATTTGTATTGCAGATGATGAAAGTTTAAAAGAAATCAACTTTTGAAAGAGAGTATAATGATCAACTGTGTCAAACGCTTTACGAAAATCAATATATACAGCACCAGTTACTTGACCTTTGTTCAAAGCAGCACGTATTTGTTCAGTGAATAAAATTAATGCAGACATGGTTGACCTTGACGTGTGGAAACCATGATGGCTATTGCTTAGCATATTATTAGCTTCTAGATGCTGAAGTAGTTGATTAAATAATGTTTTTTCAAGTAACTTAGAAAAAATAGGAAGAACAGAAATTGGCCGATAGTTTGAAACTTCTGTTGGATCAACAGATTTAAAAATGGGAGTAATCTGAGCAAACTTCCAGGCATCAGGGAAAATAGACTGCACATATACAAGTACTTGCACAGACTTCTATATTTTAGTTTAGTCTTCTAAGAAGGACATATAAACAAAAAAAAGTTTGGTCTTTTTCTTTGTAAAAATACCTGTCTACAACTTCTCACAGACCTAAAATTCATAATAGAACAAACCAAAGTTTTTACAAGTAATATTTATACAACCATGAGTTGTGTAATATTTAAATCAAATATTTTTTGCAGCTTTAGTTACATTTTACTTAGTGAGATGAGGGCAGAAATATATKTTTTGATTATAAAGGTTGTAGAATCTTTTGGTATTGGATTTGTGTTGAGAAGAAACRTTTTCATGCTAACATGGTAAGATAAGTCTGTCAATAATCAAAATACTAAGCTGTGTATGTAATCATGTTGGCATCAGGGTCACTTTTAAACCGTTAAAACTAGTTTGGGCGCTGCTCTCAAATTTCTTTAAAATAATGTAAAATGTAGTCTCACCGCTGAATATAAATATTCTTCCTTTTCGCAGCTTCAATCAACTTTTAACATGAAAAGGTGGGGAAAAGACACTCATTTTAAACTACTTAAGCAGTGTAACACTAGTAGATTCAGATTACTGTTGAACATCCATGCACATATATTCAAAAACTAACTGTAGCATGAGCACAGCTCATAGATGTGCAATGCATTGAGTGTCATTTATCCCAATATGTATAAGATAAGTCCTCCCTGTGCTTCAGTAATAAGGTGATACATGCAGAGACAGATCTTAGCTATGCACTGGTATGTGAGCAGGGGGGAAGTGCAGRTTTCTTTTCTTCTTTTGGCTGTTACATTAGAGTTCAAGCCCTGCCACACACTTCCATCTGCAGAAGGTGTAAAYGATTCAGCCTTCGGCCATTCGGCCATAGTCAGAGCAGATGGTCAAATCACTTTCAGGCATTTTCTGGGAATCTGATTGTTTCATACTGATCATTTTTTTATGCCGTTACCACATAAATTTATCGCTGAACCATGCTCTCATGAGRCAGATTTCAAACTGATGAATTGACATAATAAATAGGGTTTGGCTTTTAAAGCCAAGAGAGGTTTTTTTATGTTTTCATGTTGCTGAGTGAATGCAGATTTCTTTGATGATTTGCACRTGCCCATACAACACTCACATGCACGTGTAGGTATGTGTGGATTAATGTAAAACACATCAGCAGGTGTGTTTCTCTCTAGATCTCTGTTGTGTAAATGTGTTGATCTTTGATAGTAGGTTCTTTCATTTCAGTTTTACAATCCTTTCCTGCTGTGATGTCTTAGAGCACGTTGTGCTGACTTAGATCAGATGCTGATTACATTTGAGAGAGTGAATGTTGTTTATGTAAGCATTTTTGTTATGTTTACAGGATCTTTGAGCTGATTTTAGCCATTCAAGTGCAACTAAAGCAACATAATTGTGTGACATGACAGAAATATTCCAAACTGCTTTTAAATACTTTATCGTTATCATAAAGTGTCAATGTGACTGAAGTAGCTTTATTCAGAATGTTATGCTGCAGATTTATACAGTCACCTTCAAATTATCTAAATTAAAATTATAGCGTTCATCATTTTATGCTGCRAAGGGACCAAGTTATAGCTGTTTTGATCAAACCTTTTAATGTGCACAACCTCACAGAATATTGTCAGATTRCAAAATAAGTTTGTTGCCACTAAATGTGTTGAAGATGACTTCTAGCTACTGTCACACCACAATTAGCTTAAAAGTGACGGAGTTACAGACATGCTTGTTATTTTAATTTGGAGTGACTCCATGGGGTAATTGTGGATGTTTCCAATTATTTTATGAGAAATTTTACTAACAGACAGGGTTAATACCAACAGTTCAAAACAAAGTTTTAGGTAGAAATACTGATACCTGATACCAAATTCTAGGTAAAATGCTTGAGTGYGGGAATTTTTGTCTCATAAAAACCATCCTGTGCTTGATGAGATATTTTGCTGACAGACAACTTGTCTCCAGTTAATGGAAAAGATTTAAAAAAAAAAAAAACAGATCTAACTTCGGCTGGAAAAACTACCCAGCAGTTTGATTTGTTGCGTAAGGAAAATGATTTTTTTATGCCAATGAGTCTCATTAAGTCAACAAGTACATTTTCTCAAAAATTCTCTCTATCTGCCCGTCTTTCACACGTTTAGAGCGTAACTTTAAAGCAATATAGTTTTTTGAACATGCTGTCAGAATTGTAGCTGTGCAGTAAATTTATTCTCTTTGCCTGAAAATATAAAGGCAGCTCCACCAACCTGTCAATTGCTGTCAATCAAACACAGACCTTCCAGTTCATATTACTTCTAAACTGTTTTTGCTGTCTTTAATAATGCAAAAAATCCTTCAGTTCACCTGTAAAGTTTAAAAAAAGACTTACTTTATGATTTATTTATTTATTTTTAAACTATGCTCAGATAAGTGTGGTTGCTCACTGAAACATCTGATTCTGTTGTGTACACTGCATGGGCTCATTTTCTGTAAACACAGCTTGCTGTGCCTTCTGCAAATGCAACTTAAAGCTCTATCATGCAAAGAGGAAGCCATATGTGAAACACTGCTGACTTCTCTGGGCCGAATTTCATTTAAAATGAGCTGATGCAAGGTGGAAAACTGTTTTCTGGACAGATAAATCAAAATTAGAAATTCTGCCTCTCTGATTGTATGGGGGTGCATCGGTGCCTATAAAGCACGGGCAGCTTATGTGGAAATACACCATCAATACAGAAAAGTATGTACAGGTTTTAGAAGAACATGTGCTCTCATTCAGTCTTTTTTTTTCTTTTTTTGAAGGCTTTGCATTTTGCTAAGAAAAGAGTCCAGGTTCTGATCTGGTCCACCTGCAACCCAGACGTCTCCCCAATTGAAACAGTTTGATGCATCATGAAACAAAACAAAACAAAACAAAAAAATCTGCCTAAGACTTTTGAACAACTGAAACCCTGCATCAGACAAGAATTGGACATTTTTCTCCAAAAACGTCAGCAGCTGATRTCCTCGGTTCCCAGATGTTTACAGAGTTTTGTTAGAAGAGGGAGGTGGTAAACATGGCTCTGTCCTGTCTTTTTGGAAATGTACTGCTGCCATTAAAATCAAAATTACTTTTTCCCCCTCCTACAAATAGTTGCTTAGTTTTGCAAGCTAATAAACAATTAATAAACTTTTATTTGTTTACTATGTTCCATTGTGAAGAAATGTTTTTATTTTACCCAGTTTATGCAACTTTAAAACATCTGTAGGTTTATATTAGACACTATGAAGGCATTTTTGACGTTTTTATTTTGTTGGCCAAATCTGTAAATTATTTAAGTTAGTCTTGTCTTACCTAAAGGAAAAAGTGTGACTTCTACAAAAGACTCACAAGTCCTTCACAAATTCAAAAATGTCTGAGTGTGTTTTATCTTTGAGAGCCCTTAATTATGTTTTTCTTTTTCTTCCTTGCTCATCTTGTATAATTTCAGATTGGAGCAAAGAGGCGTTTGTTAATTGATGATTTTGGAGTGGAGTTTAAGATTTGCTGAGGGAAGAAGAGGACAGGAGGAGCAGGTGATTGAAGGAGGAAGAAGAGGAGCAGAAGAACATGGGCCTCAACTCTGGTTGGATCTTTCTTCTGTGCCTTTCACTCTCGCATCAAAGTGTTACAGCACAAGCTGAAGGTACGTGATGACATACATGCACTCCAATACTTCTGTTATTTCTATTATAMCCATATAGTAACAGGAGTATGAGAAATGTTATAAATGACTGATGTTTAAATTACAATTTTAAATCAAAGTTCTAAATAAAACCGTGTGATTGACAGCTTTGTTCAAGGAGTCAAAGAAAGTTGCAGCTCACTAAGCACAGTGTGTGGAAACTCCATCATTAAATCTCCCACCTGGATCCAGTGGTAGCTCAAACACAAACCCAGAAACTGTTTTTATTCCCTCCATAGTGAAAAGCATTTAAACATCCTTCTGCACTCAAACTCTGTCAAACTCATCTCCCAGATACAGAAACGTAGCCTCAGGCGTTACTGGATGTCAACAAAAGGTCAATAAGCCAATCAAAACTTAGATCTCCATCTGGAACCTGATTGGAAGAAAGTTGATACAAAGAACCCACTAATCTAAATGAAGTTGTTCCTCCTTTGCTCCTGTTAATATCATTTATTGACAGCAATAACATAAATGTCATCACGTTGTGTAACTGTCCACAATAACCTTTAGTGCCTTTTTTCTTTTAATTACAAACAATAAAACAAAATATGCTCTATAGGATCAATAAAGGAGACAGCTCAAAGCTTTTTTAATCAATAGTTTTATATTAAATAATAGAATGATGCTTAAGCTCGCTCACTTTGAAGAAACAGACAAATTTTTTTATTGTTGAGCTTTTATTTTATGTATAATTTACTGTAAAACAGATATTTTTGCTCTGCTGTTACCACCTGCTCAATATAAACTGCTTTAAACAAATCAAGAGCACTTAGAGGTTATCTCCGTTTGCACCAATTGCTCATACTTAGTTTTTTTTATTATTAGTCTGGATGGGGTTTCTCCCCATTTTCTAGCAAATAGAAGGATTGTCGGTTTCATGATTTGTTAAGAAAAGCCACTAACTGGTTGACAATTTGAACATCAAGAAACCCACACAGAGACTGCACTTATTACATACAGTGGTTTGCAAAAGTATTCATACCCCTTGAACTTTTCCATATTTTGTCACATTACAACCACAAACATAAATATATTTCACTGGAATTTAATGTGAAAGACCAACACAAAGTGGTATACAATTGTGAAGTGGAAGCAAAATTTTACATGAATCAAAACATTTTTTACAAATAAAAAACTGAAAAGTGCGATGTGCAAAATTATTCAGCCCCCCTGAGTCAATACTTTGTGGAGCCACCTTTTGCTGCAATTACAGCTGCAAGTCTTTTAGGGTATGTCTCCACCAGCTTTGCACATCTAGTGACTGCAATTCTTGCCCATTCCTCCTTGCAAAACAGCTCAAGCTCAGTCAGATTGGATGGAGAGCGTTTGTGAACAGCAGTTTTGAGATCTTGCCACAAATTCTCAATTGGGTTTAGGTCTGGACTTTGACTGGGCCATTCTAACACATGAATATTCTTTTTTTTAAACCACTCCATTGTAGCTTTGGCTTTATGTTCAGGGTCGTTGTCCTGCTGGAAGGTGAACCTCCGCCCCAGTCTCAAATCTTTTGCTGACTCCAACAGGTTTTCTTCCAAGATTGCCCTGTATTTGGCTCCATCCATCTTCCCATCAACTTTGACCAACTTCCCGGTCCCTGCTGAAGAGAAGCACCCCCAGAGCATGATGCTGCCACCACCATATTTGACAGTGGGGATGGTGTTTTCAGAGTGATGTGCAGTGTTCTTTCTCCGCCACACATAGCGTTTTGCATTGTGGCCAAAAAGTTCAATTTTGGTCTCGTCTGACCAAAGCACCTTCTTCCACATGTTTGCTGTGTCCTCAACATGGCTTCTGGCAAACTGCAAACGGGACTTCTTATGGTTTTCTTTTAACAATGGCTTTCTCCTTGCCACTCTTCCATAAAGACCACATTTGTGTAGTGCACGACTAATTGTTGTCCTGTGGACAGTTTCCCCCACCTGAGCTGTGGCTCTCTGCATTTCATCCAGAGTCACCATGGGCCTCTTGGCTGCCTCTCTGATCAGTGATCTCCTTGTTCGGCCTGTAAGTTTAGGTGGACGGCCTTGTCTTGGCAGGTTTACTGTGGTGCCTTACTCTTTCCATTTCCGGATGATGGATTGAACAGTGCTCCGTGAGATGTTCAAAGCTTGGGAAATCTTTTTATAACCTAAGCCTGCTTTAAACTTCTCCAAAACCATATTCCTAACCTGTCTGGTGTGTTCTTTGGACTTCATGATGCTGTTTGCTCCCCAATATTCTCTTAACCAACATCTGAGGCCGTCACGGAGCAGCTGTATTTGTACTGAGATTAGATTACACACAGGTGGACCCTTTTGAGTCATTAGCAGTCATCAGGCAACTTCTGAATGCAATTGGTTGCACTCAGGGAAAAGGGGGCTGAATATTTTTGCACGTCGCACTTTTCAGTTTTTTATTTGTAAAAAATGTTTTGATTCATGTAAAATTTTGCTTCCACTTCACAATTGTATACCACTTTGTGTTGGTCTTTCACATTAAATTCCAGTGAAATATATTTATGTTTGTGGTTGTAATGTGACAAAATATGGAAAAGTTCAAGGGGTATGAATACTTTTGCAAACCACTGTATACCGACAGTAGCTGATGTTTAAACAACACATCAAGCTCTTCAACACTTCAAACACTTCATGTTCTTAGCTATTGGTTTAAATATTTCCTCTACAAATATTTTTTTTCCTTAGCTTTTCTTTTTGTAACCAAGCTCCACTCCAGATCTGCCTTATTTCTAATCACCTACCCACTCTGGCAACATAAGAGCCTAAAATAATACTAAACACTTCAGTCTACCTTTGAATCTGCAACTAATGCTAACCCATGTGAATAACAGCGCTGTAGCCTTCTATTCAGCTTTAAGGTAGTCATTTTAAAGAGTAATTTCCGATTTAGAGTAGGTTTTTGTTGTTGAAATAAGTTGGGTGTTTTTTTTTCTGTGTGGCATACAGTATATAAAAACGGGGTTTTGTATTAATTCTTTCATGGGGGACAAAGACTACAGTAATTGYTGTGCGATATAACCCATATGGTGTTGAACATCTCTAAACTATGTGAACAACTTTAATTAGGAGAGCCAGCTTAATTAGCCTTTTATGTTTTATTAGAAATAATAACTCAATTTGTGCAGGACTACAAGAGTGTTTTAGTGGATTAAACTCTGACATAATTCCTTATGGTTTCACTTTGTGGTATGAAACATAATTTTCTTCTACTTATGYTGCAAATGTTTTCTTGTTCTTTAGTAGTAGTTGATTCGGTGGACTTTTTTATTTCTTGCATTTTCTCCAACATTTGTTTTTAGTTCTTGTAGTTTATTGCAGTAGTGCATCATTAAAGAGATTTTTTTTTCCCTTTGCAGAGTTTTCTGCAGTTTATGCTGAAGCCGCTGGGCTACATCTAATGTGGAAATCARTGGTGGTCCAGCACAATGGTGTTGCAACCTTTGAAATACCAGCACAGATAACCTTCAAGAAAACTAATCCTAATCTCTCAGCATGTGTTGTGTCCTTATCCTTGGCATGTCAATCCTRCCTGCCAGCCCAGACAGACAAACTTCTGGATGATTGATCTTGTTTCCACCTCTGCCTTTGTTTGACAGACTTAAGATGCTTTTTAAAAATTTATTTAGGTAACACGTTATAGAGGACCAAATTGGCRTAATTAGAAATAAATGCAGAAATATATGTAAGCTTAAAGTTTAGTTTAAAACAAAGACACAGGTAAGTGTTTTTCTCCTTGCCTTTGTTTTTAAGTCAACCTTAAACTTTAAGCCAAACTGAGGCAGCACAAGCATGCACAGTAGATCTGCACACGGATCCTGCTTCTTCCTGTCTGTTGACCAGTAGGAGAGGAGCTGACCCAAGAAGGACCACCCACCTTATTTACATAATGAGGCAGAAATGCATAAGGAAACGTAAATATAGGGGATAGAAATATGTAAAACAACATATTGAAATAAAATGACTTAAAAAATGTCAAATAAAAAAATATATAACCATTTAAGAGACACAGATGCATCTACAAGTAAAAGGAAAAACAAATAAATCTATCTTTTTAAAAACAGTAAATTTTAAATTATGTGGTCAAATCTAT